TGTGTGCTCTTGTTCATCGTATCGTACTCACTAGATGTGTATAAGAGACAGCTCCTACCATGGTCTCTTACCTTGTCACTTCTGTAACACTTTTAAATCCAATTATTCCTTTCACAATTACAGCACACGTAACTGCGCTAATATCTGTATATCCAACCATAGAACCAATTACTTCCATCACAACATCAGATTTTCGGGCCCCAAACTTTGGAATTCGTTATCCTCATACTTGATAAATGCATCTTCCATTAAAATTTTTACTAACCAATTCAAAAAACTCTTAACTTCTGACTACTAATTGTTAACATTTATTCAATCTCCTCCATCTCCACTTGGTTGCTACCTTTCGCGCGGTCTGTCGGTCTGTCTTCGACTTGTTTTGAATGTAATGTTTTTTGTCCCTTTCTGTCCTGTTTTGTCTTTTTGTCTCTTTTGTTAATCTCATTTTTTTTCCCCCTCTTATTTCAGGTTGTCCCTCCACAAGATGGATTTTTCTTATCTTCTCGGGTTCTTGCCTTCTTCCTCTCCTGCATCTCCAATTTATTTTAAATCAATTGTAATATATTTGTCTGATTTAAAAAGGAAGTAAATAAATGTTAAATTGAAAATTGAATTGAAAAATCACTTTTCAATATCCTTAATGCTGAACTCGCTCATGTTTCTAACTGGTTTAAGCTTAATAAATTGTCTCTTAACACATCTAAATCAAATTATATAATATTTGGTTCAAAAAACATTAATTTTGGTAATTTGACCATAAACATAGATTATAAAAACATTATACGTGTTGATGAAACTAAATTTTTAGGCATAACTATTGATTCTAAATTAAGCTGGAAGCCGCATATAAACAGAATTAACAATATTATTTCCCGAAACATCGGCATTATCAATAAACTTAGATTTACATTTCCCTCTAATATTCTGTTAAAACTTTACAATTCCTTAGTATTGCCTTATATTTCTTATTGCAACATTGCTTGGTCTATCTCATTCGATAAGTTTACCAATTCTTCTCCCTGGGATAGCTTTGAAACAACTCACATTGATAACCTTTTTAAACTCAAAAAATGGGCTATGAGAATCTGTGATAATACTCACTTCAGATCGCACACTAAACCTTTGTTTTACAAATACAATACAATTAACATTTATGATTTGAACAATTTTCAGTCTGCTTCATTTATGTTTCGTTTATATAATAATATGGTACCATCCCATATATCCTCTTTATTTTTAAAATCGTCCGATTACCATCAATACAATACTCGATCCTCACAAAATTGTATTTCTAAATCCTTAACTATTTCAAACCTTAGACGTCATTCCATGTTTTATACAGGCCCAAAAGTATGGGAGTCACTTACCATGTCTTTGAAAAATAAATTATCTATTTCCAGTTTCAAAACGAATTTTAAAAAATCTCTGGTCTCGGCATACAGCAGGTAATCTCTCTACATCGACTGTATAATTTCCTTCTTGTTTGACATTTTGGTATTCATAAGCACCAGTAAACAACCAGCAGGCCTAATTTTCCGTTCCATTCATTCCATTCTTCATATGAGTCAACTCATCGAGTTCATCTGCCTTACCTTTGTTTTATTTACTTCTTTTTATATTTTTTATTCAAACTTCTCATTTTGTTTCACTTAATTTATTGTACTTGTTTATTTACTGTATTTATTGTACTGACTAAAAAACTTTTTATAGCCTCAAATTATTAATCGTTTTTTATTTTTTTAAGTGGCCTGAGTTTAAGTGTCTCCGGATCTATACAGGCCTCCATTCATTTATCAATAAAAAACACAAAATTTTCATTTTTCTCTTGTGAAATATAAATAATTTATTGATAATGATGAATAAACAGTAACGGTATATCGCACATCTGCTGTGTTGGAGCATAAGAAAGCATGTCGTTGCCAAATTGTTGCTAATGAAAAAAATGTTAATAATAAGATAATATGCGATCCGAAGTGACATTGGTTTGTTACATCAAAGGGATCTGTGATCATCTCCTCAATAGTACCTCCATGGTTTAAATAAGTATTTTCATAACATTTCACTTTTCTACAAGAAATAATCAGTGGTGAATAAAACATCAAACTGGAATGACACAGGACAAAATCAAGCTGTTGTTGATTTAAAGAAATACAGTGTATATCCATAAAAACAGAGACATGAACATTATGCTCCATTATGAAATGCTAGTTTTTTACTATTATTTTGTACACATCCAGATATAGCATTTGTATTAAAATATTCTGAATAGAAAATTCTGCACCATCCCATAGTGAATATATGATCGCAATAAAAAAAATAAAAATAAAACTACAGTTTCACAGTGCCTGAAAAACAACTTTTTGTTCAAATGTGAAAACATAGTAAATTATTGAAAATAAATGGCAAAGTAAGTTTATTTAGACAGCAATGACCAATTACATTGCATAGTCATAGTTATTTATAGGCTCCATCCCTGTTTTGCATCTGGCGTAAAGTTCAGTTAATGTATTATTTCTGTTCCGCACCCTGCTTTACAAAATCCTGGAGACGACACTGCCAGATTAACTTCTTTACTGTACTGCTTAAAAATGTATTTGCAAAAATAACTACTGGTATAACATAATAATGTAATAAGATGCATTATCTTACCACTTGCTTGTCCTGAATTTGATGGTGATTTTGGAATGTCTGAAATATAATTCAATAACAGATAATACCAGTACACTAAATTAAGTATATATTATTTATCCCAATTAACAATTATATTTTTACATTGATATGAAAGCAATTTGACATGTTTAGACAGGGAAGACCTATACAGTACTGTAAGTGACCAACTTATATGTGATTATATATTTACAAATATATGTCATATAAAACTAAATACAATATTAATTATCAACTACTTTAAATCAAATCTCTAAAGGAAAAGCAGCATTCTACAAGCTATCAAGATGGGGATAATTGATGCTTCTTAAATATTCAAAATTGAAAGGGCATTTAAAAAAAAATATAAAACACAGTAACAAATAACATAATATTATAACACACCACAGTAAACATTGTTTTATCTTACAACTTGCTTGTTCTGGGTTTGAAGGTGACTTTGGAGCTGGAATGTCTGAAATAAAATTCAACAACTGATTACTGGTACATTAAATATCAATTTATTTATTACTTACCATAATAAATAATTGAACTCATAAATTAGTTGCACATTTATTGACAGGAAAGCATTTTGAGATATATATTGAGAAAATCATTTAATGCTATATTATATGATCATTGTGTTTGATATAAAAATAAAAATCATAAAACACAAATAAATATCTATAAACCTCATCCATCCTAAAGATAAGATTGATGTCAGTGAAGATTGTGCTGTAGTTTATGAGATTGGATACTGTGATTCAGTATACATCAGTGAAACTGGCAGGAAATTGAAGATCCGATTAGAAGAACATAAAAAAGATGTCACCAATAACACAACAGGTGTGTACACTAGAGCATCCAGAAACACTGCAACTGAGCTCATTCACAAATCAGCTGCAGTATAACTGATCACATGGTTAAATACAACCACAGGGGTACCAAGCTAGAAAAAGTCCATTCCATGAGATCTGGTTAAATGAACTTTCTTAACATAAATTTATTTTGCTGTGCATGGTGATACCCATCAGCACTGACTTCTGTAAGACAATTGATAATAAATATTAAAACATTCAATAATATTATGAATTTGCGGGTTATTTTCTGAGAGATTCTTGCTTGCGGAAGTGTAGGAGGCCATCCCGATTTCCTTGAGACTCTATAACTATACTTCACTACCATCTGAAAAAATGCAAAACCTAATAATAGAGGAGACTATCAGACCATGGATGAATAAGTTTAGGTTTTAGCAATATTAGGACTGAAACTGCCTATTATCATTCAATGATATACAAAAACACCACTGAATGCAGCAACAAGGAGGAATAACTTTATGACATTAAATTAGTCAGCAATTCAATACCAAGTTCCTAAGAAAGATGAACTTTCTGACCTGAAATTATTGATTGTCCAAGATAATGACGACAATGTTGGTTAACATTATCATTCAGTGATATATAAAAATACCACTGAATGCTTGTACTGCAGCAACATGGAAGAATAACTTTATAACATTAATAGTCAGCAATTCAATACCAAGTTCCTAAGAAAGATGAACTTTCTGACCTGTTTACTGATGTGGATGCTGCTGATAAATTATTGATGGTCAAAGATAATGACAACAATATTGGTTAACAATGATAAAGCTACAATGCTATTGCTATATAAAAACCAACAATGCCTACCTTATGAAAATTTTTTTACAATTATTAGTATATTGCAAACACACTAAATGTGAATAGTTATTATCTTTAAATATTATGCTTAATAATAATAGTGACCAAGTACTTTATTAGTACTAATGCATGCTCTAATTGTAACATACTGTAAACTAAAATCCAGCAAATAAATAGTAACACAAGGTTCAATTCAGAAGTTTGGGTTTAAATTTTAATTTTTATAGTGTTTCAATTTTCTTCAATAAATAATCAATTGCAGACAGAACAACATCCAACTGTGGTTGGTTTGACCATAAAGAAAACACATTGTTTATGTTCCATTATAATGCTAGCCTATCAGTATTTTGTGCAGACATTCTAATTGTATAGCATCTGTACTAAAACATTTGAAATTAAAAAGGGAACTTTATTTTTCACTATCACACAGTGTCAATTGTAAATGTAAACAACGAAATTACAGAACTAATGACAAAAAAATAAATTTGAAAAAATAATACCTTTGATATAATACTGATAATATTTATGTCTCAAGTTCTATTCATGTGTAAATCTGATATAAATTTTACAGTTAACAAGAATTTATACCAATATGATATATATTTTTAGTATGTTATTGATGCTATATTTCTCTGTTACAGTATTATTTTCGGGCAAGTATTTTTCTTTTAATTTAATTTCTTGTTATATCAATTTGTTTAGTCTACTTTACTGCAAAAGGGCTGCTGTGAAAATCACTCTATCCTATAGCATTTCTTCAAAAACATTGACTGATTTTACTACAAAAAACTCAAAACTTAAAGGTCGGATATACTGTATTAGGTTGAAACGGTTTATAGGATGTTAGAAATATAGCTATTGCAAACAATTTACAAAATATTTGTTTTTCAAATATTTGGCCCCCGTCACTTTTGAGTTGAATTACGAAAATATAGGCAATATTAGTGTGTTTTCAGCGGGATTTGAGCTGGCTTATGAGGAGTTGTTCCTTTACCAAGTCTTAACTTTGTCTATATTAATCAGATCGCTTAGGTTGACATGGCAACAGAAAACAAATTTTCTTGTGATCAGTTACAGTATATATCAGAATTAATGTAATTTGATAAAATTTTTTTCTAACATTTTTGAGTTTTATCAAAGGCATTCAAGAATAAAAATTGCCCGGGCTCACACCAGGCCACAGGAATTGGCATGTTCCATTTTCTGAACTGAGGAATGTTACCAGCTGTATCAAAGAATTAGCTTGACAGTGGACACATCTTATTTCTACCGTGTTATGCATAAATTGGGAGTGTATGTTTTAATAGTATTTCCTAATGATTGATTGATTAAAAAGTTAATTTTTATATACCCTTTCCAGATAATGAAATCGTCCAAACACTGCACCGTGCAGCATGCTCAATCTGTTCATTTTTGGTTTTCTTACACGTGCACAGAATTAATTATTAAAAATGTTTTGTTATGTAGTCAAAACAAGCCAAACAAATTGATATATTTGATCTCTATTTATACTGTACACATATACTTTTAAAAAATTCAATAATGTGCTCAAAAGATTTTGTCTCATTAGATCAGTAAAGTTAAAAATGGGTTCACAGTATCATTCTAGTTTTGTATTGAAGCAGATAACGAGATTGTGGATGGTTAGTTTCAAGTTTTCAACCTTGAGGTTGTAGGGTCAAGCCTTCCACTGTGAATTTCAATTGCTTGTACTTTAGGGCCTAAAGGTACAGTACATTAGGAGAATAATCCATAACTCACATCATTGTGCTGAGCTGCGTGTGGGCCTACACTGCACAGCTTTCCCCATCAACACTTATTCCTGTTGCAAAGTATGCTACAGTGCAGTATGTTTAATAGGCATTTACAAATGAAAAGGAAGCACATAGAGAGCATGACAAAATGCATTTTGCAAATCTACCACTAGTATAATCATCATCATACGACATCTCTCTTTTTACCAAATCATTATAAATCAAAAAACAGCGGCTCAAATCACACAAGAAGCAAAACACTAGGACACATTTAACAGTAGACAACATCATAGGACATTCTTGAATTTGTCTGTTCTACAACATACTTCACATTCAAGGAACAGATTTAGCAACAAATTTTTAAAATTAGCCAAGGGATCTCAGTTCATTTGGGAGTATCTTTGGTTTTTTTTTTTAAGCTTTTCTATTCCTTTTATTGTATTTATATAAGTTAAGTAGTTTTTATTTAGTTATTTATTTTATAATTAAGTTTTCATGATACGTAAAAGGTACATATACGGCCTTTTAGAAGAGCACCAACTTGGTGAATGAGCTTCTGTTGTAAAATGAAAGATTTTATTATTATTATTATTATTATTATTATTATATTATTATTATTATAGACAGGCCTGGAAAAAATATTTTTGTGCCTCCAACTATGAAAGTTATCTTGATCAAATGCCTGCAGCACCAAATGCTATCTTTACACCATTATAGCTACATTTCATGGTTTGGAGCAAGCATAAATATCAAATTTAATTACCGGTATGCATTAAATTGTGAAAAACAAAAATAAAATATTTTTTTTCTAAAATGCCTCTGGGGTAATGGTCAATGCCTCCGACCGCCGGCCGCACACTTTTTCCAGCCCTGATTATAGACCCAGTGATACAGGATGAGCACTAAACTCTGGATAGCTACCCACAGAATGGCCTAAAACTTGATTGTAAAATCTAGGTACTGGTATTTTATACCCAAGACAGACTGTCAATTTTCTCCAATATACTGTAAATCCCATATTTGAAATTTCCTTACACTTTCATGCATCATACATTTACAATATGCCTGCTTATGAAAACCACCATTTTAAACAAGTTTTTGGTCACAAACATGCATCTTTGAGGTCTAGTTAAATGACCTCCCAGAGATTCATACATTTAAATCAACTCTTCAAAATGCTCTGGTTTTTATAAATGTCATTTTTTATTCTCATTATAACAAAGACATATTATTTTAAACTATGATCATTAAATTAGCTAAGGTTTCAGACTGGTTTAAGTTAAACAAGTTATTATTATACATTGATCAAAACAAACTTACTTGAGTTAGTGAAACCTTTTTCAACTAAATTGTATATTGTAATCGATATTTATATACAGTACCACATTTATCAGTTAACTTTGTAATTATAAAATATATTTAAAAAAGAACAACAATGAAAATCACATATTACCTTTACCAAATCTATTCCCTGAGTTTGAAGATATATTCGGAATGTCTGTAAATAAAAGTTAATTGAGATTAAAATATTAAATATTCTTGAAAATTAGACATGAAATAAGAATTGAGGCCTGCGTTGATGCCAGTGAGAGGCCAAGAGGGGGATTAAGCTCTGACTGTACAATTATTAGTATGAATTTCTAACACAGAGAAAGCATGACTCGTTCAAATGATTATATACTTTTATATTTCATAACAGTGATCTAGCATATGTAACCCATGCTCTAATTGCACAAGAACGCACAGGCGTTATGCCACTGAGAGGAGGATTAGGCTCTAATGTACAATTATTAGTATGAATTTCTAACACAGAGAAAGCATGAGTGGTTTAAATGATTATATACTTTTATATTTCATAACAGTGACCTAGTACATGTAACCCATGCATGAGTGGTTCAAATGCTTCTATGTAAAAATGTTTAAAAATAATAGGAAACCAGGGTTTCAGGGTGTTAGTTTAAATAAGTATTTTCATAACATTTCAGTTTTCTACAAGAAACAATCAGTGGTGAATAGAACATCAAACTGGAATGACACAGGATTGATTTGTTGATTTGAAGAGGAGAAATACTGTGTATGACCATAAAGACAGAAACATCAACAATACTGTATGTTCCACTATGAAATGCTAGTTTTTTAATATTGTTTTGTACTCATCCAAATACAGCATCTGTACCAAAATATTCTGAATAGAAAATTCTACACCATCCCACAGTTACTAAATTATCACAATTAAACCACAACAAGAATAGAACTACTATACATTTTCACAGTGCCTTAATATCTACCTTTTGTTCAAATGCCAAAAGAATTATAGTAAATTAATGGAAATAAGTGGCAAAGTAAGTTTATTTAGACAGTAATGACCAATTCAATAGTGTAGTCATAGTTATCAATAGGCTCCATCCCTAGTTTTGCACCTGGCATATAATTCAGTGGATGTAATATTTCTATTCAGTACCCCGCTTTTCAAAATCCTAGATATGCCACTGCCCAGATCAACTACGTTACTGTGCTGTATAATAAGTATTTGCACAAACAAAAACAATTAATAATAAAATAAGATGCATTATCTTACCACTTGCTTGTCCTGAGTTTGATGGTGGCTTTGGAATGTCTGAAATATAATTCAATAATGGATTACCAGTACATTAAGATAAGTACAGCATATAATTTATTTACCGTAATTAACAATTGGATATTTTTGTAGTGATAGGAAAGGAATTTGACATGCTAAAGCTTTGTCTACACTATCAAATTTTATCAAAAAAGCATCACATAAAATGTGATGGAAAATAAGAATTGAACACGTTCAACCTTTTTTGATACAATTTGATAATATGTGATATGACGTCATCGTACCCATATATGGGCACATCAAATTTTCTTGTCACATAAAATTTGCTAGTGTAGACAAAGCTTTAGACATAGAAGACCTTTACACAGTACTGTAAATGCCCAACTTATATGTGATTATTTTAATACAAATATATATCGTAAAATAATGTTTAAACTATTGCAAACAAGAAGGAACAATTACACAAAAGCAGCATCCAAAGGCTGCTCAGAAATGAGGCCATCACTATGTAAAGTTTATAAATAACCTTGCACCTCCTTTATTTTGTAACACATTAATTATCAGATACAATTATTACAATATTAGAAATAAACCAAAAATCTGGAATGAAATTAGTGACCTTAAAAAATGTATATGCCAATTTAAATTAAAAAAATGTTTATACTACCATGTAAACACCTAATTTGTGTTCATCCATTGTGATATTCCATTTCTGTTTACTATGTTAGCTATTGATTTAGATTTTAAGTTCAGTTTTAAATTTTAGGCAAGTGCAGTAAGTACCGAAAGGTAATTTAAATCTTAATATTTCATGGTGAACGAAATTTTGTAAATTGGATGTTTTGTGACACTTTGCTGCGGGTGTTCAGCAGCCTGGACATTACATAATCAAGGCATTTCGGGCCTAGCTTTTAAAATTAATTTGCAAATCACACACAAAAAAAACTTGTTTTTAGAAACTTTTATAAAATATAATCATAAAACATTCTCTTCTGATCCAGCATGCTAATTAGTCCAATAATGGAGGACACTAAATAGAGTCAGATAAGATATAACATGCCAGGAGATTTGTGATGTCATAAATCTGAAATTAGTTTTTATTAAAATGTTATCTTCTGTTTCATCCTTTGGTTTCAAAGCATTTTCAGTAGTGCACTAAGTTTTTCAGTTACAATCAATTGAAGTGAATTCCATCAACATTCATCAATATATATTCATCAACATTCATTAAATTTAAAATAAATTAAAGAAATACCTTCTGTTAGAGCTTTCACAGCTTGGTAGAGTTTATGTTTCTTCAACTTTTCAATGAATGCTGTCATGTTCTCTTCACAAATGACCATGTTGTGTTCTAGATCCATGATCAAACTCCAGCTATCTGTATGTTTTACTTCACACAGATCACTGATCTTTTGTACATCACTTGGAGTGAGCGCCATTCCCAGCTTTACAAGTCTTTGCCGATGCACTGTGAATTTTGTAATTACATTATTCCTGTTTTTGGCAATTTGGAATGATGGCATTTCATTTTGAATTTCTTCTTCCAGACCAAATTGCTTTGTTGCCTTAATAGTATCATAAAGGAGAGTGAGGTCTGTTGGACTCAAACTTCCAGATGTTATCAGCATATTCATTAAGGTAATTGTCTTAGAAGAAATATGTAATGCGAAAGTATTTTCTACATGGTCCTTAAATAATACTTTCAGCATATTGATGGGTATGTGTTCATCGTACCAATTTGACACAAACAACTTAAAGTCTGCAAAAGTTGCTTCTATGAAGTAAATAAAAATAAAATGTATTAATAATATCACAACCTCTGGAAACAAGAAAAAGTATTGTAGAATGTCTTGATTCTAAAAGGAGGATGACAGAATACTGAAATGTCTTTTTAGTTTCTTACTTTTACTTGTTTCCATGTTCATTGTCATTTGTACAGCTACTGCTTCAGTCTTTTTCATTCATTCATTCCTGAAACAAACAAGAATACTCAATCATGATTTGTCTTTATAGTCTTTATGTGTAATTTAAAACTTTTACTGTAAATTTCTCATAATTAGTTATAACTGTAAAGTAAACAGTAAATAGTAAATGTAAACAGTGTAGTAATAAGATGGTTAAATGCTTTCAATTTATGATTAGGAAGAAAAATACATCATATTTTTGAAGATTTTAAGGAAGAGGCAGTTGTACTAAAAATAAAGAAAACTCTGAAATTTCCATTTCTGTGCCGATTCTAACTGGCCAAAAACAGAATTTTGTTTTTATTCGAAGTCTTTGAATGCTCAACTGATCTTCAGTACCTAAACTTTTGTTAACACATCTAATGATCCGCCCAGAAAATAATCATCATGTGAAGCCCAGTCTGCCAAATCCTGCAAGTATTGCCATAACAGGATATTCTAAAGCATTAAATATTGAATACTTTTTCATCTTTAACTGTAATTTTAGGAAGAAAGTCAAATTACATTTTAAATTTGAACATGAGTCAATAATAACTTTGTTTATAATGTTAAAAGCAGGTACTTAGACACTATGCCTACTGGTAAAGAATGTGGTCAAAAATAGATTATACAATACATGCTAAAATGTTGTGATGAATATAGTCTGTAGACATTCCTTATACGTCACATATTGACAAATTTTAGTGATTAACATGGTCACTTTATAATATATTTTATTCCATTATATTTAGTGAACATACAACATTCCTTATTCGTCACATATTGACAAATTTTAGTGATTAACATGGTCACTTTATAATATATTTTATTCCATTATATTTAGTGAACATACACACGTTTGTATCAGCTGCACTCGCTGAAGTGGTATGTTCCACTTACCTACTACTGAGTACTCTGCTGCTCCTTTCACCGTACTGTACAAACTTAATTTGAATATTAAATGAATTCTCAAAAGTGTTACTTTTGCAGCGTGACAAGTCCTCATCCAAAATTTTGCAGACTTGTGTTATTGTAAAATTGTTTTTTATGATATTTTAATGCACATATATATGAACTCAAAGTATGCAAATAACGGTAAGACATTTAAAAGAATGGTGCTACGATATATTTCTTCCAGAGCTGTGCACAAACATTTTGTCCTTACACAATATAGTATATGGTAATATACCATGATTCTTTGAAATTTAGATTATACTCATTGGTCTCTCTTTATACATTCAAATATTCTTAGACAAATTTATATGGACTGATGATACTTAAAGACACACTGCCTCAAAACTAAAAAATTAATTTAAAAAAATTTGAATAGCTCGAGATCATTTGAAAGGATCGAATAAGTTATCAACTTCCAAGCAGAAACAAATTAAAAAAAAAAAACATTTTGCTGATTTTACAGACATTTTACTTTAAAAATTCTTTAATTGATTACTAGCAAATTTAAGGGTTTATGCACAAGTATACAGTAATTAAACTGTTTATTATAATTGACAGTAAATTTTGTTTTGTTCAATTTTTAATTTAAGTTAATAACTTACTCAAATTAGGAAATTCAAATATAGAATAGAATATTTATTTTCAATTTTTTAGCTAATGATAGACAGAACGTTTTAAAGTTATAGACTAAACCAAACCAAAAACTGAAATCACTGATACAAAGTGATTATTTTTAGTGAATAGATCAAGTGCTAAAATCCACATGTCATGCTGGTTACAGGTGCAGCACTGGTATGCAGCACTGACAATGATGAGTAGTTGCAGTGTTTACAAGTTCTACTACAAAACTCAGAATCTTGCCTTTATGGAAGAATTACAGAAACTCATACTACCTAGCTAAACCCATAATTATATTCTACACATTGTCTAACATCCATGACAATGATTTATCCATCAGGAACTTTGGCTACATTGTAGACCACAGGCTTGTCAGATTACTGATAAAATGTAAAACCCAAGAAAATTGACCCATAAATCTTCTCCCTGTCCAGTTAATTTGAAATTCTAAAGCTGTTATTTCTACCTGCAATTTTGAGCAACCCATATCTTGCAATTGGTGCTACAGAAATTTTTCATTTACTGTGGAATTTGAAGTATAATAGTTACTGAAATCATATATGCCAACATTTGAGTAATAAAAATCAAGAGAACAAAATAAGATGTAGGCTTAGGTTGGCCTATGTGTTTCTTCTTCATAGATTTTTAGTATTTTAGCGCATTTTACTACTAGCTACTAGCTAGGCTAACTCGAGAAATCGGTAGTTCTACTGTAATTTGAATATTTCAAATACAGCTGCAAAATATCAATGAGACATGGAGAGTTTCATATAGTATTTTATGCTAGACCTAGCCGTGACCGGTTAGGCTAGTCTAAGTCAGCTGTTAGTTACATCAATTTCAATCTATCTTGGCTGCACCAAGGCCTTATCCATTCGTTTTTGGCAGACGGACCGTACCGATAGAGGTACTAGACTAGCTGGCCTAACTACGGTAGTAATTCTATTATACATACATTATCGCCAGCGAAATTTTTATTATTCTAGTAATGTATGGCCCTGCTAGTCTTCATCGAAATATTCAACTATAGAATTTAGCTTTCTAGATACAGTATATACATAAATAATTCCAGGTCAAAGAGGTGTTGTCGGTCCAAATATCGTCGGTTCGTTCCTTGCAACAACATGGCCGCGGCAGTGGTAGGGAATTTCCCTAAACATGATGACGTAAGATCCTGAACTTTCTGCGTTCCAAAGTGATGGCGCCAGCGGGGAAATTTTCCCTTGCGTCGGTCAAGTCTGGACCCCTGTCGTCCAACGCCACGACTAGGGAGACGCAGGGCAGTTCACATTGACCTTTCTATTCCATGTGTTCACCGAGTGCTGTAGTGTGAAAGTAGTAGTTGCCTTATATTAAAATTAATTCACAAAGAACCCTCAGTTGGTTTAGGCCTGTGGTTATTACAGGGGCGGATCCAGAGACTTAAAAAGAGGTGAGGGGGAGGGGGGCGAAAGTTGGGCCGATCGAGATAACAATGACCTATAGGGACTGGGGGAATTCCCCCGCGAAATTTGTGTGTTCTAGACGCCCGAAAATAACATTTCAAGCGTCCTTGGTTTTTTTCTTTTTCTTTCTTTTTCCCTCTTTTTTTTACCTCCCTAAATCCGCCCCTGTATTAGGATGATATTTTGACTTTTTTAAAGTAAAAATAGTGAAATCAAATGACGTTAAACCAAACACAAAGCCACTGCATCAGTATGTATGAATCATCATTGCTTGTTACACCACACACAAAGCACAGCATCAGTATGTATGCGCCATCACTGCTTGTTACACCAGACACAAACCACTGCATCAGTATGTACGCACCATGAATGTTTCTTACACCACAGACACAAACATTTGCAGAGTAGTGCCAAAGTGCGAGCCAGCGAGTCATGCGAGCCAATGTGCGAGTCATGCGAGCCAGCGAGCCATACATTTAATTTTTTTTTTCCAGGTTATCCAATTTTGCAAACACGTAGGCCTAGCCTATATTCTTTGGCCTAGTAGATGCGA